AAGAGTACTGAATGTACCATGTACTGCCAGGAAAACAAACAGATTCATCTTGGAGAGGATTAAACCAAGCTACTCCTTGGAGGCAAGGATTCTGGACTTCGTCTGACATACTTTGTACATGTTGCCAGGAGGGATGGGTCCTTGGAGAGGGACATCATGCTTGCGGTGGTGGAGGGACAGCGCAGTAGGGGAAGACCCTCTATGAGATGGATTGATTCGGTGACTGGGCTAATCAGGATGGGTGTATCAGAGGCAGTGCGGTTGGCTCAGGGTAGAGCAGCGTTTAGGGCTGTTGTGCATAGGGTCGCTATGAGTCACAAACGACTCGATGGCACATAACAACAAACAAACAAAAGTACTGTCTATCTGTAACCCACCCATCCCTGCCTGAGGGCTGCAGACCCAAACGTTACCAGTGCAGCAGGGTCCAAAAGGATCTGTTCTGCTTCTGTTGGCGGTAGGTGGGGTTGGAGGGTGCAGGAGGTGTGGTCAAGAATAAATGGCAGAGTAACTTGATTTGCAGCTATGAAGTAATCTATGGGCAAAATCTTGAATGATGCAGGAAGCATCAAAAGAAGGTAGAAGCAATATGCACAATGACTGTACCAAAAAGGATTGGTTCATACAGATTTATTTGAGAAAGTAGCATATGATCAAGAACCAATAATACTGAATGAAAAAATCTGAGTTGCACTCAAAGGATTGTCAAAAAAATGAGGCATCTGGAATTGATGGAATATCAATTGAAGTGAAAAGATTGACGCTGTCAGCTGTTTCATTTTACTCTGATCCACAATCAATACCCAACAGCCAAATACAATCAAAAGACATGGTGCATTGTGGAAATTACTGTCAAGGACCTCTACAAAGTGCTAAAGAGCAAGGATTTCCATTTAAAGACATCTTAGATAGATTCACCTGATCCAAGTAATGGTATTTTTAGTTACTTCCTATGTACCTGAAAGTTGGACAATGAGTGAAAAAGATCAAAGAAGAATCTGTGCCTTTAAATTATGTTTCTGGTGAAGAATATTGAATATACCAAGGACTCAAAGCAACAAACAAATCTGTCTTGGAAGAAGTGAAACCAAAGTAATCTTTAGATGGAAGGGTGGTAAAATTATCCTAACTTTCTTTGGGTCTAATCTCAGGAGGAACCAATTCTTGGAGAGAAATTCCATGCTAGACAATGTGGAGGGGCAGTGAAAGAGAGGAAGTCTCCCAAAGAGATAGATTGACACAGTGATTCAATTGGCTTGAGAGTGAGGTTGATTCAGAAAAGGGCAAGATTCATATCTGTTGATCACTGTGATCACTGATCATAGTTGACTTTGCAGTATCTAGCAACAACATTTTAGTGCTTATTCTAAAATAAGACTCAAGTATTTCACTAGCTTAGATTGAAGCACATTATTAATTACCTTGACTTACATTTTTTCATCACTATGTAAAACAAACTAGCCAGAAGTACAAATGAATAGTGTTTGCTTGTCAGCCCACCTAAACTAAAGTTTCCTAGAAGCTGTCCATATCTACAAGAGTTCTTAACCCTCAGAAGGTCTCATTATCATAAATTTTATCTGTTTATTTCATGTTCTTACCAGGGATGCTTGCGTTTGTAATCACATGGAATATCCCTGCCGCTTCCAGGATGTTTCTGCCACCACTCAGGACATCATTCCTCATCGAGTGTTTGCCCCAGTGTGCTTCAAGGATGTCTGTCAGAAGACCCTTCTGCCGCTGATATCTCCTTGCCTCTCAGCAGCACATTCTATTCTGGGAACACACCCGTTTTCCAGGTTGGATGTAGTTATCGTCCCTGCAAACTTTTCAAGTCTGGGTATGGCCAGGTATGCTATTCCAGTGTGGCATTGTAGATCATGTCTTGATAATCCTTGGACTAATTCTTATTCATTTTGAGCTCTATCTGAGTCATCATGTGACTAAAATGGAAAGGGCTTGGTTATTAATGTATATGTCTATCTCTCATGGCTAACTGAGGGAGTGTTCTAGTAGGCGCCAGCACACACAAGCCTTTGGGTGCTATGAGTGCAATTCAGGCTGCCTTGAGCACAGAGGCCTTACCCTGATTGCTGTTGGGCTTTGAAAACACTTTGTGCCCCCAGGGTGATACCTTTTGGATCACAGCTGTTCTGTGACTGGTTAGATTCAGTGGAGCACAATGCCAGTGAGCCCAAAGTCATAGTTCTAGTCTCTGGGCACTGTAACAAAACTTGATACCAGGGCCACAGGCTGCTTGCCTAATCCTGACCAGCTGTTTGCTTACATCATCGGTCACAAGGGCTGTGAAGCACTGTGCATGGATCTGTCTAAATACATCACCACTGTTAGAACATCAGCTCACAGCAAATGTCTTACACAAAGGATACTGGTAAGGGATCACTTGTTTCAGTACTATTTTAGACAATAAATTATTTATTCTTACTTTTGCCTCAATTTACTTCCTTTACAAATAAAAATCTGCAAGTTGAGCCTTTTCACTATCTGTTACTTACCACTAAAGTCCATTCCATTAATTTGACTTTTCTATAAAAAGTAGCTGCAATTCACTGAGGAAAGTTAGGTTAAGTCTTTAAAGTTTTCTTTAGTTCTGTTTCTGTTTGAAAATCTTAATCATTTACAGCAAATATTCTTAATTGAGGATGGGGAAAAATAAGCTTACCGAAGCATGTGACTTTTAATTTTTTCCCCTATTCATCAAGGAAATTCCTACAGCCAATTAATTTCTATGCTTTTGAGCAGCTGTCATTGTGGTGTTTTTCCTGAAAAATTACACACATTCTTAGTAGTATCCTAAATTAGAAGAAAACTGACCAGCACATTTGCTTTTCATCTTTACTATGTACATAGATTTTTAAGAGTTGGCAGGGTAGACTTAATCCTTGAGGAGGTCTGAGAAAGGCATTTATATGGATTTTATTCTATGTTTATGAAGATAGGAGGAATGTAAACACTAGGATAATAACATATGTTTGGTTCCATGTCTATATAATGTATCTTAAGAAAGGGCCTTTTTTGGTCCCTTTGATGAGTTCAATGAACTTAATACAAGCAAAATGATTGTTTTCTGTTTGTATAAAATCTTCAGGGACTCTACTTAGTTGTTTGTTTTTTTATTTTACAGACGTTTTCGTTGTTGAGGCCTGTTTGTTAACAATTCCTGGGTAGTGGATTTTTATGTAGACCAGCTTATTTTCTGTAGTTCCTTTCTTATATCAGCCTGCCAGAACCAGAATTTGTTTACCTGCAGGCATTCTATAAAGCTTCTCTTTTCAAGTTTGCAAGTCCAAGCAGGTAGGCTGTGTACTTGTTGGTTTTTGAGATGGTTAAAGTGATTTAAACATACTTAACTCTGGATTTTTAAAGTGAGCGGAGGTGCCTTCCAGCCAAATGGGACTGGGCACAAATGTGATAATAACTGAGTAGTAACAAACCTTTCATGCTGAAAAATGGGCAGCTCATACATTGAAAGTTTTATGGTTGTTTGTTAAATAGCTTTTCAGGGGTTTCGTTTGGTATGTTGGTTCTTTGTTTTTGGTGGCTTTTTTTTTCAAGTTTCCCCCTTCCTTTTAGACTTGGAAATAAAGCCTGCCCTAGTCTAGGTATTTTCCTGAGCCATGTCACTACTCCCTGCCTTTGGCTACAGAGAAGCATGGCAGTCACCCCATTCCCAGGGATGGAGTTGGGCACACTCAACTGAGCCTTGAGTTGATTCTCCTCACTTGGCTTAACTCTATCAGAATATTGACACCTTAAGCCACCTGCAAGGAAGTGGGGTTGATGACAAGGCTACAAAGGCCCTGCCACATTGTTTATAGTAAAGCTTTCCCTTGGAGTTCTGTAAAGCAAAGATGGAACAAAAACACTGGTCTTATGGGTGGAGTCAGAACCATAAACAGGAAGAGGGGAAATCCAAGACTAGAAGGGTCCAAAAAGAACACTGAAACTGGTATCATGTTAGTTCTAATGCACCAAGGCCTCAAAGGATTTTTAAAAATTATTATTATTATATGTTGGTTAGCTTACAAAGTTCATATACATTGTCTCTCTCACTGTCCTTCATACACATTGTATTCCATCCATTCTCATGCATTATGTTTTATAAAATTAATCACCACTGTGAAGTGGTACAACCACTCTGGAGGGCAGTTTGGTGTTTCCTCAAAAAGTTGAACATAGAAATTACATATGACCCAGCTATTCCACTGCTTGGAATATCCCCCAAGAAAATGAAAACTGTGGCACAGATGAGACTTATACACCACCATTCATAGTAGCATTATTCATCATTACAAAAACATGGAAACAGCCCAAATGTCCAACCACTATTGACTGGATTGAGAAATTATGGGACATTTACACAATGAAATAATGCACAGCACACAAGAGCAATAATTTTGTAAATTAGCACCTAACTTGTGCATTATGCAGATGACACAACCCTGCTTACTGAAACTGAGGAAAACCTGAAGCACTTGCTGCAGAAGGTCAAGTACTGGAGCCTTCAATATGGATTGGAGCTCAATATCAAGAAAATAAAGATTCTCACCACTGGGCTGTTTTGCAGAATCTTGATGGATGGTGAAGAGATTGAGATTGTAAACAGCTTTAGTTTGCTTAGCTCAACAGTCAACATTCTTGGCACCAGCAGCCAGGAAGTTAAAAGATATATTGCACTGGGAATGTCACCTCTCAGAGATGTCTCCTAAGTACTGAAGAGCAATGGTGTCTCTCTAGAGACTAACGTGGGTCTGATACAGGCTATGGTCTTCGCAATCAGTTGTTATGCATCAGAGAGTTGGACAATGACCAAGGAGGATAGACGGAGAATTGATGCCTTTGAGCTGTGGTGATGGAGAAAAGTATTGAATATACCATGGACTGCTCAGAGAATGAACAGGTTCATCCCAGAGAGGGTGAAACCAGGGACAAGGATTCTGAAACTTCATCTGACATATTTTGGACATGTTGCAAGGAGAGACCAGTCCTTGGAGAGGGACATCATGCTTGGAAGGGTGGAGGGACAGCGCAGGAGAGGAAGATGCTTGATGAGATGGATTGAGTCAGTGACTGGAGTAATGGGGGGAGGTGTGTCAGAGACAATAAGATTGGCAAAGGATAGAGTAGGGTTTAGGGCTGTTGTACATAGGGTCACTATGAGTCGTAAGTGACTTGATGGCACATAACAACAACAACAGCAACAACAACAATCGCCTAACTTGGGAAGGACTGGAGAGCATTATACTGAGTAAACTAACTCAGTCCTGGAAGGACAAATTTTGTATAAAACCATTATTGTAGAATGAGTATGAGAATTCAAGGGAGAGATGATGGAAGCAAAGAGATGAGGATGGGCAGGTGTGTGGTGGGGTTTGGAATATGATTGTTAATTATAGGTTCATACAGTTTGGTGGGAGGTGGAGTGAAGGAAATGTGAAAGATCCAGTGTGAAAAACAAAGTTTTCAAACTTTGGAAATAAAAATAAAATAGTTAATAAAATAAAAATAAAACCCAGTATAAAATAAAATAGTTAATCTCATTGTACCATGCCCATATTTTCAGGTTCCCAAAAGATCTTTCTCATTTCCTTCACCTTCTCTGTCCACCCAATAAATTGTGTAACCCAATGGTTTCAACTTAACCCATCCTCACCCCTCTACTCCTAACCCTTATCTCATTGGCTCCCCTTTTGTGTTTTACTAGCTATCTATTTTTACAATAATGGTCTTATGCAGTGTTTGTCCTTATGAGACTGAGTTACTCAGCATAATACTCTCTACTCTCTCCAAAGTTATGTAGTATTTTTTGAAATTGTTACTCCTGAGCTTTGCATAGTATTCCACTGAGTGAATGTACCACAATTTATCAATACATTCAGTTGTGATTAGACATTTGGGCTGTTTCCATATTCTTGCGATGATGAATAATGCTTCTACGAACATTGGTGTACAGATGTCCATTTGTGTCTGAGTCCTCCTTTTCTCCAGGTGTATTTCTTATATTGGAATAGCTAAGTCATACAGAGTTTCTATGTTCAGCTTGTTGAGGAAATGCCAAAATGCCTTCCAAAGTTTGTACCATTTCCAAATCCCACCAACAGTGTATGAATATTCCTAGCTCTCCGCATTTTCTCCAACATTTATTGTTTGCATCCCTACTGGACTTTGCCGCTGTTACTGGGATGAGATGGTACCTCATTGTGGTTTTTATTTGCATCTTTTTTATTGCCAGTTATTTTGAGCATGTCTCTTGGCCATCTGTCTTTTGCCCATTTTGTAATTGGGTTATCAGTGTTTTTCTTCTGGAGGCCCAGTTGTGTTGTTGCTATGTGCTGTCAAGTCACCTGCGGTGCATAGTGACTCTATGTACAATAGCTCTGAAAACAGCCCCATCCTGAGCCAGTCTCACTGACTTTGATACATCTATCCACATTACCCTAGTTAATATATCAATCCATCTCATATAGGATGTCTCCTGTGCCATCCCTCTACCCTTCTGAGCATGATATCCTTCTTCAAGCATCCGTTCTTCCTGGCCTCATGACCAAAGTATGTGAGAGAAAGCTTCAAAATCCTAGCCTCTAAGGAGAAACTTGGTTTCATCCTAAACCGAGACAGACCTATTTGTTTTCTTAGTAGTCCATGGTATGTTCAAGACTCTTCTCCAGCACCAAAATTCAAAGGCATCAATTCTTCTTCTGCCATGCATAGTCACTCTCCAGCTTTCTGATGCATAACAAGTAATTACGAAGACCAAGGACTGGATTAGGAGCACCTTAATCTCTAGACTGACATCATTGCTTCTATGTAAAATGGAAGGGTCCCTGAC